TTGTATCCAAACATGCACAAGAGACGACAAAGCCGAAGAAATGCAACACGACAAAACCCTCGAGCAGGAAACAACAGAACGAACAACAAAACACAAATAGAAATGCTGCCAGCGCTGTCCAGGGCCCAGTGTGGACACCCATCGACAGTCGATAGACAGACCTCAGTTTGAATACTACAAAGAGATGTAAATTGTTTGGGGGCCTAGACCTGGACGCTAATTGTCAGGTGCCTTTTTTTTTTTGGGATAAAGTTGCTTCGGGGTTCGAGCCCGCGACCTAGACGCTAATTGTCAGGTGTCTTCTCCCCATCCGAACGGGCCTACAATGTAAATTGTATTCAAACATCTCACAAAAAACAACAAAGATGAGTAAACTCAACCTGACAGAACCCGCAGCAGGAAGCAACCGAACAAAACGCGAACGCAAATGCTAGCATTAAAAGTTAATAACAAATGCCGCCAGCCCAAAGGGAATTCTGGGTCTCACGGAACTGTTGCAAGAGATCCGCTTATTTGCTTTTGAAGTTTTGAGAGAACCCGCCAGAAGAAACAGCATAACGAGACCCAAACGTAAATGCGAGAAACAAAATAATAACAAACGCCACGAGCCCAAATGGGCATACTGGGTCTTTGTGGAACCGTTACCCAAGACCCACCTGTTTGCTTTCAGAGTATAGCGACAGGTACTACCGCCTTCACCCGAATAGAACGCCCGGCAGGGTTGCATCCCTGCCAACCGCCGATCCCGACCGCCGGCCGTATTGCAGCCAACCAGTTGGGCACACCGGTTGGTGGTTTGCCGACCAGGAAAAAAAAAAAAAAAAAAAAAACGTCCACTGATTTTTTCAAATCTGAGTTGGGGGTGTACTGCGCTTGCTGAGTACGGCCCAAATCCACTGAGAACTCTTCAGGATGGGGGGGAATATGGGGGGATTGGGGTTGGAGTATAGGGGTGTATAGGGGTGGTCTAGGCGGTTTTCGGAGGGCCCCGGGGGGGCCGGGGGTAATCGGGGTGTTGGGGCGGTTTGGGGGCGGCTTGGAGGCGGTTTGGGAGCGTGTATGGGGGTATTGGGGGAGGCTATGGGGGTGTTGGATGTGCTATTGGGGGTTCTGAACCCCAATTTTTTAATTTTATTTTTTTTGCAGGGTGCCGACCCCCGACTGGTAGGTGCCGACCAGCTGATCGGTCGGCAGGTCGGCGGGTCGGCACCTACCAGTCGGAGGAAGACGATGGTGCTACATGGTAACCAGGACAATAAACACTGGTACTGCATGATAACAAGTACAACAAGCACTAGTACTGTCAATCACCACTACCTCCGACACTCTTTTTTCCCAAGGTGAATCATGCTACCCGCCAAAAAAGAACCAGTGTGAGCATCATGGCTACCGACCGGACGTCCGGACAGGCTTCCAGACAGTCCGTAGCAAAATGCACCGGTCCGGTGTCCGGTCGGAACTGTCTGGAACAGGTCCCGTGGTCAGAAATTCAAAAAAAAAAAGGGGGCTGCCCAGGACGTTTTCTGGGTCCTGGGCGCCCCCTAAAAAATACCGGCCCGATTTTTCAGTTTCGTTTCGGCCTGCCGGACCCAACAGGACACAGGCGACAGGGGTGGGGACACAGGCGATTGGCGGGTCGATTTTGAAGTCGGCCTTTTCGAAACTCCCGCCAGCCGCTGCTGCCAGCTTCACGAGTGACTCCTCTATTCGAAGCCACTGCCTGGATCTATCGCCTCCGAAGCCACTGCTTGCAGCCATCTCGAGCAAAGCCACTGCTTGGAGCCCCCACCGTGAGCAGCAGCCGCCAGGACTCTCACCGCTCCAGCGACGCTCGTTGACAACGCCGCCAGCCAACAAGGTCAATCTCTCTCTCTCTCTCTCTCTCTCTCTCTTCGCACTTCTGGCATATTGGAAATTGTGTCTGGTTGGTTGATCGGTCAGCCTTCCCTCCTGCACTGAGACTCTCTCTCTCTCTCTCTCTCTCTCTCTCTCTCTCTCTCTCTCTTGCTGGTCGGCCTTCTCTCCTGCAGTGAGAAGGGGTTCGCAACTCCCCCCAACTCCGACTTCCCCCCCACCATCGTGCAACTCCCCCCAAGTCCGACACCAATCGCGCAGCTTTGACTCCCCCCTGACGGCCCCCCACTATCTCGCCCGACTTTCCCCCGATCTCCCCCTGATCTCCCCCTACTTTCCCCC